CTTTATACATACAATAAATATATCAGCAAAATTAATAATGATATTTATAAAAATTAAATAACAAATAATAAGACCAGCTCCTGGCTGGCCATAATCATGAATCTAGATATTCCAACAAATTTAATAAAGATACTTATAAATATTAAATAAAATATATATGTTACTTTTAATATTAATTAAGGCTAATCCCTGGCCGGCCATGAATAAAAATCTAGTTAATTGGCTAATAAATTTTTATAGGATATTTTTCAAAATATAAGGATTAAAATAAATCAAAAATTATATTTCTAGCATTTGTAATAATAAATTATAAGCTTTTAAAGCTAAAAATAAGTTATTATATTTCTTTTGTCAGCTATTGTATATTGATATAATTACACAAATAAATATTCAAAAAAACAAAAAAATTTGAGAATTAATACAGTTATAAAAGCTATTACTCAACACATATTAAATCACTTTGCTGAAACCTCAAATTTAGCAATTTTAATATTACTTTTATATGACTTTCATATGACTATATGATTAAATTATAGTAGCGTTTTTATTTTTTAATTGTTAAATTATAATTCATTACTTTAATTAACTATATAGAAGTAATAAATATTCTTTAATGTTAAATATTTAATTTAAGGATTTAAAGGTAATTTTCATATTTTAATATGTATCTTAATAAATATAAAAATTTTTTTCTATCTTATTACTTTATATCAGCTATATAAAAGCAATAAATAACTTTTAAAATTATTTCAAGTAATTATTGCATATATTATATTACTTTCAAATAATTTTTTATATTTATTTTAATAATAAAGTCAGTTATAAATTTTTTGATTTAAAATTCCTATTGATTAAAAAATTCTTATTGTTTAAAATTTAAAACGGTATTATTTGTAATTATCATTATTTAAAATTTTTTATATGAAATTAATTTGAATAATTTTATAATACAGCCTTATATTATTTCAGATAAAATATTTTACACTTTTGTGTCAAAATTCTATAAGAAAATTCTTTTTAAACATTAGTAAAAATAAAAATCTATTAGTTAATATGTTTAAAAAAATAATATTGATTAATTAATATGTATAACTTCATGCTTAATAAATATTTATATTCCAATAATATAATAATAACATTTACTTTGAAATATTACCTGTATTTTATGTAGGACTTTTATAAGTAAAAATATAATATATTATAATCTTAATTTCTTTAGGCACATTTATTCTAATTTCAAATATATTTTGGATATCAGATATATAAAATTTCACATAAATCCTAATAATTGTGTATTAATTATTTTTTATTGAATAATATAAGAGATTTAATCAACTATTAAGTAAAGAAATAGAGACTGAAACTATCTTCAAATTTATCATTCAGGTGTTCACATTATATATATTAAATACACTTACTATTTTAGGTCAAATTATTGCATAATATATTAATTTTTTTATAATTATTGTAATAAAATACTTTTTTAATTTTCTTGATCACTCTTCAACTATATTTAATTTTAGTTTATTTAACTTTAACATTTTATTTATAAAACTATTACTAAAAAGATAACTGAATTATAATTATCTCATCATTTACATATATGTCAAGAGGAATGTTTTAAAAGTTAATTATTTATTGTTAAAGCTAATTATAAGAGTTAAGTGAACAGGTAAGGCAATGAATTAAAAAAATTCAATAGTTATTCTGAAAAAATCTCATGAAATGTCTCCTATAAATGGGTGATATAGTGTCAAATTTTATTAAATTTAAACTGAATCAAACTGATATTAGTCGCAAATTATACTATGTATTAAACAATCTTCAACTGCGCTAAAAATTATGAAAGTAATGCATATTAAATATTATTAATATTATTCTGTCTATTAAATAAGTTAACTCTGATTTAAAGTCAGGAAGTCAATAGCTATAACTTAAATCTAATCAACTTGACATAATGTTAATTAGAAAGTTTGTTTAGTTGATAAAAATAAAATTATAAGTTTTATGTTTGTAAAATATTATTATTATTTATTATTGTTATTAAATGTATATTAAATATAGTATATAAAATTTAGACCAAAAGTTATATGCATAAGTTATACTAAAAATAGAAAATTAATGCATGTATTACATAGTATTTCCATTTTTATAAATAATTTATCCATTTTTATATATTATTTATCTATTTTTAGTAATTATTTGTACACATTTTATGATGTGTAATATGTACATACAAAAATTTAATGTACATATGTGCATATTATGCACATGAATTTTATACACTGATTAAATATAATATTAGAATCTATTCTTTTTCTAGAGTATTTTATATCCTTTATATAAGAAAATTTCAATTAAAGAAAATCTATGGTAGTTATGATATTATTGATAATAATAATAGTTTACTTTTATTATAATATTATATAGTCTACTTTTTATTACTTATATTATATTATCTAGTTTTCATTATATATATTATTTATAATTATCTAAAAGCGTAATGTAGTACTAGTTAGAAATTTTATATAAATAGATCTGTAAAATGACCTTGAGTCGATAGAGTTTTATTTAGAGATTGAGATAAGTCTTGGAATTAAACTTATAAACTCTTCAAGTTAATAAAGTTACTATTTTATACTTTCAACCTTCTTCTTGTTTTCATCATAGAATTGATTGTGATAATCTACTATACAAATAAATTGTGATAAATTATTTTGTTTGATAATCATTAATTTCTTATATAAAAGACTTTTGAGATAATTGTATTAGCTTGGTTTTGAGACAATTCCAGATTTAACACCAATTCAGAAATGCTGGATTTGAAATGAATTATATAACTTTAAATGAAATAGAGTTATTAAATATTAAAAACTTTGAATTAAATTTTTTAAGAAAAGGAAATAACTCTATAAAGTATAGGATAAACTTTTGCAATTTGATCTTTATTTAATAATTCTGAAACATAAATCAGCAGAATCAAATCAATTTTAATTAAACATGTGGTATTTTTTTTGCATATTAAATCCTCTCTTATTAAATCAATTCTGATATGCAGAGCTTGGACTATTTATTTTATTAGTGAATATATTATTTTTGAACAAATAGCTGTTGAATTATTTCCTTGTTATATTCTGAAGTTTTTTTTTTAAGATTTTTTTCTAAAATACTATGAACCTTTTTTAGCAAATATAGGGTTGGCTTTCAGATTGGGTTAAACCTTTCCCAGAAAATTAAAGGTAACTCTGATAACCCCAAATATTGTTTAAGATCTTTAATTTGTATACTTTTAGAAATAATATATGAAGTACTTCACAAATTTTAATTGTAATAAGGACCAGTCATTATTTTATTTGTCGATAATAATTTCGTCAAATAGTTTTTTCCCACTTATAATATTCACACCCAACCTGCTATTAATTCTAAATAAATCTAGTGAGAATTTAAATCATCCTTTATATATGTTTACACCTATTACACCTTTGTTATCTTTGTTGAATAGTTGCTTGATGTGTTGTGTTTATCCGCCATTCACATGAACCTCATGTGATATGGAATAAATTTTCATGTGAAGCAAGTAAAACCTCATAACCTTTCGGGTCAGGGGGCTATCATCCAGTGACTATGTAAGATAAGCTGTAACCCCGCCAGTATCTAGGCCAACTTTATAAAGAGACAAAATATCCTCACCCCGGTAATAAAGAGAACTGTATCATTGAATGATGTAATTAATGTGATTTGCATAAACGACAATAAAAATAAGAGTGGTGATCAATCTCCCATCACAAATTTATAGAGAATTTTATCGGATTATGGGATCCTAAATCACGTGTTTGCGAATATAAAAATGTAAATCAAAGTTCACGGCGATTTCTTATCGCGGTCTTTTTTCAAGTTTTTCGCGTCACAATACATTTACATTCTTATTCTCATTGGTATTTTTTTTTACTTGTTCATTTCGTTTAGCAAAAAGTATGGAAAACGAAACATTCAAAAAATCATTTTTTTTTAAATAAATATGTTCCAACTAAAGTTGTGGGGAAAAACCCAATTCCCATTTTGACAAAAGTCGAAACCTTTTCGATCTCGATGGGTTTTCGATGGGTCTACCATAAAATGTTTTTAAATCTTCAAATATTTTGTCGTTGTGTCTCATTAGTCTTGACGATATTCCATAGATTTTCTACGACTGTTGGATGGTTATTATTGCATCTTGGATCTAAAGAAATTCCTTAGTTACACGACTAGTATGCTTAAGAACGTATTTTTGCAGATAACAGCATTTGTTTATATAGAAATCAATATTTAATGACAAGTTTGTACGGTAATCACAGATGAAACTTTTTAAGACAGAGGAAGAAATCAGTTACGAGAGATTCTTATGATTTTTGGACGATGCATCATTCTGATACCTCATTAACGAATCGTGACGAACGATAAAACTAAAAATCGTTGTCTATGTTCTCTGGAGTACAACAACTTTGGAAGAAATCCGGGCAAGATGTTTCGACCAGACGCGGATACCATGAAGACGAGAAGCAAACACCAGGTAAACTAACGGTTATCGTAAGTAGGGATTGAATGGATTCAAAAAGTGTAGAATAGATTTTGAATCGATTAATCGTTTCTCGAGTTCGATTAATCTTTTTTTATTTATGACGCACCGATTTTTTTTGAACGCAGTTAACACTAAAATTGTTATCAAAGAAAAATTAATTGCCAAAATTTTTTATTTTATACTTTTTGCTTCAAGTTGCGATGATCGAATTATTATATTTTCTATATTTTGAGGTTTTGATTTAATGTTCAGTTTTTTTTTTGCTTTTAGGTTCCGCACTCTTTCGGGTTTTCTTTTTGATTTTCGGGTCGATCTCTTCAAATTGCATTGATCAAACAGCTTTAGTTTTTTTTTTTTTGCTTTACTTATAAATATTACATCTACCGCCAAATCTCGCAAGAGCGTATGATACATAAGCACTGCCTTTTTTTCCTTCCGTGTCATGGCACATTTCCAGTTGGTTAAAACATGACAGAAATCTCTTACGTCATTATAAATCTTTTCTAGAGTCTAGTCATGAGCTAATTCGCGAGACTTTTGTCGTTTCTTGATAGCTCTGCGAAACCAGTCTTAGAGCTTTTTGGCCTCGTGGAGAATGCTGCATCTGTCAGAACTAGGTTTGAGTATCTGTGGTTAGGTCTGAGGCATCATTGGAAACAGAAAATCGGTCATCATCTTCGTCTTCTTCACTGTCAACAACAAAAGAGATTGAATCCATGCTTTTCTCAATTCATTTCGGTACAGATTTATTTGCCGGAGCACTTGTTTCGGCACTTCCCTCGACAACAGCTGATGATTTACTCCTCAAAAGGAAATCTCAGAACCCTTCATTAGATTAATGTTTAAGTATCATTATACCCAACTTTTCCAATTAAGCAAATGTTGGCACGCCTCCCATTGTATTAGACTATACTAAGAAATCGCAGCTCGTCTCTGTGAGGTTTAGGTAATTGAAAAGATTAATACCCTCGTTGCAAAAGTGAGTTTGTTCATGACAATAAGTACTAAGAGCTGTATTAGCCGAAGAATGATCATCTGATATTGATAGATCCGTTCACCATAGATCATAAATTCGAGAAGTTGTTGAACTTGTTCTAAAGATTTTTTGATTGCAGCATTATAGTTCTACCTGTCATATGGTCTTGCGTATTGAATAAATTTTTTATGTGCATGATCGCATTAATTACGCAATGATAATGATTAGAATTGAGCTAAGAAAAGAATGACAAAACCACTTTCCAACTGAAATTTCTTTAGGATATCCATAGTAATCATAACCGACGGGTAAATCATTAGAGTGTGAAATCTCTAATGTTTTGTGACATATCTCTATTCAAACTTATCAATGCACCATTCTTCTCGCAACTGCTGAAAATGAACATATTATTACAAAAGAAAATAATAACTGCCAAGGTTGTAGAACTAGTTTTTCAATAGATAATCACAAAAGTAATCACATGAAATTCATAAATAAAAAATCGTCACCAAAAAAAAGCACAGATTATTTTATTTAATTTTTTCATTTTTTTTATAAAAAAACTTTTATAATCTTAGAACATGATATATTACTTTAGTAAATTTAATTTTGATTTAAGGGTTAATTAAGACTTTACTCTACATCAATTCCATTTTAAGGAAAATTTTTACATAAAGATCATGATGTCAAATTCGTAAAAAGAAAAAAAGCTGTCAGACTACTTACAAAATGAAATTTATTTTTTTCGCTGCTGTTTTTCTTTCGTTTATACTTGCCATCCATCCTAAACTTCCAAATAAAGAAAGGCGATCGTACGCCAATCATCAAAATGCGAACCTCCTAAAATAAAAAAAACGATGCGATGTTCACTATAGTGCAAATATGAACAATATAAGGGGTTGTCCTATCGGATCAAAAGCATGGCCACTAACACTTCCATGGAAAATCAACTATCAAAAGGCGAATGGTAAAAGACTACCGGAACCGAATCCACCTGATGGCATTGTGTGAGAAGTATATACTTTTAATAGAAGTCTCCCCGTTCAACCAAGGATGATGGATGGAAACAGTACTTTTTGGTTATGTCGCAGACGGGAAATGGCGAAGCTCCATGCGAAACATCATCCATTTAGTAATGTCATGGATAATACCCTCTTGAATGTATTAAAAATTAAAAATGATGGATATAAACCGTGGGATGCACACAAGAATGCTTACAATCTAATCGAAAGAGTTGCCACCGTCAACATCTTTTTCAAAAATAAGTTATTGTTTGTTAAGCAATTGATTTATGTATGCGAAGATACAATGGAACATCTAATCCACTTGCATGGACATTTCTTCTATGTTCTTGGGTAGGGGAACGAAACAACCAATTACACAGTCACCGAGAATGCATTGAATCTAGTTAATCCAATTCAAAGAGATACTGCTACTCGGGTAGGTTGACAAAATATTATAACTAGTTTTTTAATTATTGTATAACAAATATATATTATGATTTACCTTTAGATGATTGTTCTTGGCGTATGGTCAAATTGATGTACAATGAATAATTATTTTATGGCATCAATCAGTTGGTATGCTTGCGCAATTTGCAAAATTTCCCAAATCTGCGAGAGAAAAAAAGCCACATATGAATGTAAGGCAGCCAAAAATCCGACTCAATACTGTGCAAAAAGGATAAAACCAATATAACAACAAAGTTCGTTTAACATTTTAGAAATATGTAATTTGAAATTTTACTAAATGAAAAAAACGTCACTCCAATGCATCTTTATTTAAATTAATAATACAATTAAAAATACAAATAAGAAAATAAAATAAATACAAGATAAAGATAAAATACAGAATGATAATGATAAATAAAAATAAATAAATCATCAATCATGAAATTCGAAGAAAATGAAAATGAAAATTTCATTTTATTAAAGACTTTCTGTACCTCCCCTATTTATACGGAGCATCTCAGATTTTTTTACCGTAATTAGTTACTGAAGAAGTAGGTCCCAATCTAAATTGTTCAAACTTTCTTATCCTTTTCTCCTACCATCCACCTTTTAAACAGTCCTATCTGATATACAGACCACTAATATCGTCCCAAGGAATCTAAAGTTTTTGAACTCATACGGACATTTTTGACAGATAAGTACAACATTTAGTTTCCTGTTGAGCATTTTTCTGCAAGGCCAATATGGATCTTTGGTAATATTGTCCTCGCGTGAAAGATATACAACCCAAATCTCCGATGGACAAAGGAGTTCTGCATAATCAAGAACCTTTTCGAAATGCTCTTTTAAGATTGATGGAGGCTCTGTTGCCAGAAATTCGAGCACAGCAAGAGGATTTTGATTATCACTTTGCTTATTACCAAATCACTATAATAGTGATGGTAATTCCCATCGTTACTGACTCTTTCAAAGTGCCATCGGCTGGTTATTTCAAAATAATGTACCTTTTCTAACAATTATGCAGGATTCGATACATCTCTGCATCATAGACACTTTCCCTAGGAGCTGCTCATAATCTATTCGTAGATGTCTTGAGCTTTTATACGAGCGAGAAGAACCTATTTCAATAGCATCCTTGTCAAAAGTATGTAAGGCTGACTTTATAACTTCAAGGATATCTAATGAACCATTGGCTTTCAACGGTACTTTTTCGTCATGTCATTTCTGGGATAATTATAGGAAGGAATTATAGATGAAGTGCTTATTAAATCTGTTGCACTTCTCTTTTTTCCATTATTGGACGATAACGATGTTGGTGACGAAGGGCTCCAAAAGTTATATTAGCTTGAAGAACATCGGTCTATATAAAAGAAAATTGAATGAGAAAATAATTCACAAAGAATAATCAGAAAAAAAAATCAAGATGGATGGCTGGATGCTGGAATATAAAGTTTTTGTATTAAAAACTTTCTACTAACTTGTAAGAGTAAGATAAGATTTACCACTCCCATTAAAATGAATTTAATAGGTACAAGAAAGAACCTGACTATAATCATATACTTATCACGGACTTCTTGAGACATATTTTCATCGTCCTTAAGAAGCATTATTTGTAAGTAAAAGAAATTGTGATAACATATTATTTGTTGTTCATATTGTTTAGAAGGAAGTGAGAAGGATTTTTTTTTTAAAAGAATAAATTTTTTTTTTTTTTTGTGAATAAAAAAAAAATAGTTTTGCAGATCTCTATCTATTTATATACAATAAAATTTAAATTAGATTGCGTCATGGTTACAAATTTTTTTGTATTACATAATTATTTTTTAAAAAAAATATAAATCTATGATTTAAAATTTTAACAAGAAAACAAATTTTTTCTGATTAGTTACTATAGTTGCTAACACTTCAAAATCAGAAAATTTACTTCATACGGCTGCAAGATGAATATTCGCGGCAAACATTCGGGAATTTGCATTTCTATTGACAAAGCAAGTGACCGAATCGGTCTTATTTACCCGAAACGGATTATCGAACATTTGAAAAGAACCCCGCAATTCTATATATCTTCTAAAAAAAAAAAAATTTCAATTAGTTGATGTAAATTTAATTTATTTTACACGTTTCTTAATACCAAAATATGCAAAGCAATTTATGAACTTTATTTTATGTTATCTAAGATGAGTTTGCTTAAACATTCTTTTAATCCATTAATTACACTAATTGGTCTTTTATTCCTTTTATTTAGAACGAACACGGGATAAAGTTAAAATATGGTTATGCGTAGGATGGAGACGGTTCTATCGGTTCCATTTCAGGGACTCTTCTTAAGTGAGCGTTAAGTTAAATTTATACTAATAAAGCATGTGAAGTTGAAAATTAGGTGACAAGCCGATTGAGCCAACTTTTGGAACCGGTCAGGAGTCGGTTCCATTCGATTTTTAAATAGATTGTAATTCAAGAAAACTCAATTTAAAATCGGTACCAGAACCGATTCTGAGTCGTTCTTTTTGAACCGTCCTCATCCCTAGTTATTGTGTTTTATAATAAGAAACACAATGCATATTTAGCAAGATCTCTTAGGGTGTAAAATTATTTTTTTATTTATTTATTCGACTTATGAATTTTAAACGCTTTACATTTATTGTATTTACCTAACCTGTTTCCTTTCATATCTTTAGTAGCTCAAACTTTTTAGTCTCTTAACCACACGGTGTAGTTACGCGAGTTAACGTATGAAAAGCCGATCCAGTCAAACAGATAGGAATATGAGAACTTTTCTTATTACACACCGACATAAAACTGGATCAATGATTCTTTGCTCCATCAACTGGAACAATATTCCTAAAATATTTATTAACGATCGATGATACAGCTTCAAAGTTCCTGAAATAGACAATCATTTTCGATTTGACATTATACATACCTTTTCGACCGTTCGATAAATATTTAGCATGATAAGCGGTGATTTGGAATATCTTGATAGACGTCTTCCTATAACAAACCGTTTTTGAGAGCAAACAAGAGAATTACCATCCATTCTCATGCTGGAGAAGATAAAAACGCTTATTATAGTCGGCTTTAAATTCTTTTATATGTTTAGTGTAGAAGTTTCGATATGGTGGCTCATGAAACAAACTGGTTGTTTCATGGAGATTTTGGTGATTTGTGCAGTTTATTTACTCATATTTCTATGGTAAGTACGAAAAATGAACGAGTGAATGATTAATATTTAAAATAGAGCAAAAAGAAAACCCAATTTTTAAAATACCGCATCATTTGCACCAATCTTACCATCATGACCAATCACTTCGTAAAAAACTGTACCTACAATAGTAAAAAGTGAAATAATGACTTCAATTCTATAATAATTATAACGTATGTTATAAGCCTTTAAATTAGTTATATAATTTGCTCGAAGATATAATGAATTATTGAATTTAGGTTTCAGATTTATGAATTGACATTCAACATTACAACTTTTACGACAGGATACTATTATAAAATAGATTGAAGATACCGTTGCAAAAATGAGTTATTTTATATTTAAGATGGATCAGTCATAACTGAGTTCCTAAATCAAAAATAAGGCCCATTAGTCTAATTCATATGATAAGATAAGTTGATTATTATTCTGACTGCTTTAATTTCTGATTTTTAGTAATAAATCAAGCTTCCTTATGTTTTACAAGGAATTTTAGGAGTAGTGATCTGCCGATCCTAAAAATCCACCAAGTTTCTAATCCACGTGATTCTAAATTTTAGCCCACTAGAAATACTATAACGTGACGTGAAGCAATCGAACCCGAAAAAAAAAAGAAACCATAATTGTTAAAAAATCATCTAATTGAAAAAATGAAATGAATCAACTTGTATTTATTATTATTTTTATTTTAAAAAAAATAACCGATATATCTTTGAATGTCCGCTTCTACAACTTAGGCAAAATTGGTTTCTCTCTATTCGTGTCTGTTGGTGCATAAACTTTCTGAGTGATAAAGATATTCTTGGTACAGTTGTAGCCTAGATCAAATTTGGGCTACAAAATTCCAAATCGGATTTTGTTTTGAGACTTCTAAAACACCAAACTTTACCTAATTAGCTTTGTTTATGGAAATGTTAGAATATACGACAGACATCAAATACCATCAAATACAACCTTGTTCCAAATTAACCTAGATGATTTTGATACATGGTTAAATTGAGGTATTAAATGTCCAAAACCGGACAATGTTCCAAATTTATCTAGATTAATTTGGGTCATGGTTAAACTTGGTGTTATATGTTTTAAATAAAACTATGTTCCAAACTGGGTTATGGCCATTTTTGGGTATCTAATGACAAAGTCCCAGATCTGATTTTGGATATCCCAAGTTTGATCAGGGAGATGGTCACGTTTGGACCACAACAGTAAAATCAACTCTCAGAAAATATCATCATCTATTTTATCCGATGTATTTCTTAAAAATCAAGTTATACACATTACCCACAATTTTTTAATACCCTTTATTTGAGTATAAGAGCATCAACGCAAATGCTATAAACAACTTTATTTTCATCGTATATTCATTAACCATCTCTTATGAGGAAATAATTTTATATATAAACTAAAATTATTTTTAATTATTTTTAAATATTTTAAAATATATCATTAAAAAATTACTTTTATACTAAGTAAAAATTAAAAAAATTTTAATTAACTTGTAATTTTTTAAAGATAAATTAATGACAAATTATTATTAAAAAAAAATTAAAATTTTAAATTCATATATCTTACTATCTATTAATTTCAAAAATATAAAAATACTATCATTTAATAGATCTTAATAAAGATGAATCCAATAAATTAAATTTTATTTTAAAATATTAATTACATAATATGAGACCTTTGCAATGGAAAAAGGGAAAACAACTCAAAAAAATAAAATTGAGTTATGCTAAATCTGAACATATTTTAACCTAAAAATCATATTTGGCATATAAAAGTAAAATTAATTTTTTCTAGCTATTTTTCCTCTTTTATTACAAAGGTCTTATATATTATTTTAAAATTAAAATATTGAAATATATTAATAATTATTAATTTTAATAATTTAAAAATATTATTATTAAATATATTTTAATATAACAAATCTAATAATTATTTCATTTTTTATAATAATTAGATGTCAAAATTTTTTAAGAATTTTTTAAAATAATTTATAAATTAATTTATATTTATAATTTAAAGGATAATATAAATAATTTAAATAATATTATAAGTAAAATAGAAAATATTTTAAAAAGTTAGTAAAATTATATTTGAATAATTATATTAAAAATTATATAATAAAATTATTTTATTTTTTGTTATGATAAATTATATTAATTTTATCTAACTTAATTGCTTAAATTTTTAACAATTTTTAAATTTATTATTATATTAATATATTTTTGTTTTTAAATATTTAAATAATCAAATTTATTTCATTTATAATAAGAATAACTTAAAATTTGATAGAATAATTTTAAAAATATTAATATTAATAATTAATTAAAATTTAAATCATAATTAAATAGTTTATATACTAATAATTTAAAATGATTTGTAGACAATTACTTATTAAATTATTTTAAAAGTTAAATAATTAGTAAGTAAGTAATTTTAATAGAAAATTTATATTATTATAATAAAGTTGATTTTTATTTATTTTTATATTTAAAAAAATTATTTAATAATTAAGAATTTAATACAATTAATTAAATTAGTTAAAAAATTAAGATAAATTAAAATTTTAAATAAATTTAATAAATTTTATTTTTACCAATATATTAGTTGTAGATATAGATCACCAAATTCAATTTAAATTAAAATTTTTTCATTAACATCTTATTAATATATTAAAATTTTTAATATATAAATTTCAATCCAATTTGTATTATTTGTAATAAGTGATTTATCAAAAATTTTATAAGTATTATTTTTATATTTTCATATAAATGACTAGCAAATAATCCTTTTATTTATTTTGGATTATCTGATATTAAGCTTAAAATTATATTAAACTAAGCTAAAATTAAATATTTTAATACTTAAATATTTTGAAGGCTTTTTTAAGAGAAATTATAATAAACTAATAATTTATTATAATTTACTTATGTAGTAGTTAATTATTACTAAAAAATAGTTTTAAAAATAATTATTAAGTCTGAAGCATAAGTAAGGTTGCCGGGCAAAACCCAGAGGTTTCGACAGGCATTGAAATTGAAACCCATCAAAATGTTTTGCCAAATTTTTTATTAAAGGCAAAACTGCGAAAGTTTCAACGGGTGGCAAAAGTTTCGATGGTTGGTAAAAGTTTCGACAGGTGGCAAAAGTTTTGACAGATGGCAAAAACCCATCAATATTAAACTATAATTTTTTAACTTTAAAAATTTATTTTGAGTTGAGAAAATCATTTATAGCAAAGTCATTCTTTGATTTTATTTATAA